TTGCAGCTGGGAAAACAAGTTTCTTCACACGAGCAGAAAGCTTCCACAAAGTGATCAGTGAGGGTGAGAAAGGAGAAAAAAAAAACCTCAACCTAAAAAGAAAACAATGTAGTAGTTGAGCATGACTGACAGGCGTCCCAAAAAAAAACGTGTCAAAACATGTAAAACAAGACAAACAAAAAAAAGGAAATACAATGTGGTGGTTGTGGTTGGGGGGGGGGGGGGCAATGTGATAAACAGTAGCATACATTTACAAAAAGCTCTTCTACAGCTGAACAGGACAAAATCAGGATGAAGGCGACGATTAGTAACAGATTGGAGAAAAAAAGGCCAAGAGAAGACCCGACTGTTGTCTTGTCCCAAACAAAACCCTGAGCCCTTCAGCGTCAACGTGTGCAGGTTGCCTTCTCTTCATTTCACTTTGCTTAGACACATATCGGCTACATCCGACTGGCAAATACGGTCAGCAGTGCTTCTGAAAGCCTGCTGCAGCCAATAGTGGCGAAAATACACTTTGGATTTGGTTCAAATTGAGGCTAAACTAACTGTTATGTGTGTGCTTTTGTTCCTTTGCCTCAATTCATCTTCATGCAAATTAGTTAATTATTCAGTGTCAACAGGAGAGGCACAAAATGGCGGCCGTGTTTGACGGGGTTAGTGTGGGACAAAGTGATCAGTGAACTGACAGCCGGGTCTTCAGAGGAGGTTCTTCACGTTTGATTTGTTTCAAATTGATTTTTTTAAACACATCACATCACACACACACGCACGCACATGCACACGCTCACAGAGAACATCACAGTGTTTTTTCACACTGAAGTCCATTACAAAAACCAGATGTGTACTGCACAATCTGGTTTTGGGGGAGGGGTGGGGTTACAGGTGAGGGTGAGGGCAGAGTGACAGGTGTGTAGGAAGTAGAGGCGGTGACCGAGGCTTTGTGGATTAAAGATGTTTCGGCGGCTGAAGGCTAGAGAAGTCCGGCAGGTTGGTATTCGGGGATCATGAGGGGAGAGGGTGAGGTGAGGGGACCACAAGTTGAGATCCAGTTTGGCGTCGGATATAAAACCAAACTGGCTGTCGTGGCTTGAGGAAGGATCTCGAGGTGGGTTTGTAGACCAGCGCATCTAAAGAGAAAAGTTGCTTGCAGTCTTGAATATTAAAACTCCTCCTGCTCCTCAGCATCTGGTATCACGAAACCCTCCTGGGGAGACAGAGAGAGGGAGGGAGATGTAAATGACGAGCACCGGAGACCGCTGTAGAAAAACCTGCAGTTTGGATTCAACACTTGCCATCATCAAGCTCGTCATCTCTTTGGAGCCAGAAAACCCCAAATTAGTCAATGTCGGTTGAGCCTTGCTGGTTTGTTGTCTGAAAGCCAGACACACTTTACTAATCAGCACCAACACACACACACACATTACAGCAGTTACATTAAAAGGAGTTCCCAACCTTGCTGCGCCACGGACCATTTGTGCATTGACAATGTTGAGATGAGCGCGAGAGCTTTATTTGGACTCAGACAGGGGTCTGAAACGTAGTGATGACGGACTGGTTACCTGGCGTCGTAATAGGTGGTTTTAGCAACGACTTCACAATAAGCATCAAGGTATGCGATGATACATTGCAATACTCTGATGACCATTTTTAAAACAGAGCTGAAACACAACTTGTATCACATTATATTGATAACTGTTTATAGACAGCGTTGTGCTGCCCTTTCTTGGCATGCAATGTCTCCACCTAGTGGTAGCTAGTAGTATTTATATAGGCCACTGGGAGTATTGACCCTCTGGGGTTGCTGTAGCGGGTCAGTGTGGAGTGCTGTAGCAGCAGATCAAGCCAGAGCACAGGAAACAAACGCCTCTAAGTATCTGCACACTATGTCGTTCAGGATGTTAAGCATATGAAGCAAAATGTGTAGTCTGTAAAGATTATATTATGGCGACGCTAATGTCCATTAGCAAGTTAACAGTTAAAGAGCCTTTTTTTTTTTTATGTATTAATACAATGGGCTAGGAAATTGACACAGTATCATGGACATTAATCTTGCAATACTCATCTGTTTTGATTTTTTTGCACAGTCCTACTAATGACCTACTTTAAGGTGAAAGCTGCAGCTAACAATCACTTTCACAATCTATTAATCTGCTGATTATTTTCTTGAACATTGAACAGTTTGGCCATGAAGTGTAAAATAGTGAGAAATGTCCTTTATGATTGCCCACAGTCCAAGGTGACGTCTTTAATTGTCTTGTTTTGTCCGACCAACAGTCCAAAATCCTAAAGATGACCAGTTCATTGTCATGTAAGGCAAAAAAAAAAAAAAAAAAACTTCCCATAAACATAAAATCCTGACATTTAAGAAGCTCGAACCAAAGATTATCTTGCGTTTTTGATTAAAAACATGCCTACATGATAATTCAATTATCAAAAAAGATGCCAATTGATTTTCTAGTCAGTTTAATTATTGTTGCAGCTCTAGAGAAGATAAGCCTTTATTGATGGCCAGGGAGATATTCTGGTGTTGGAACACACACAGGCAGAGAAGTAAATACAGGTGGCTTGAGAAAGTAGAAAGTGACCAGAAAGTAAAAATACAGAAATAAGTAAAATAAAATAAAATTAAATTTATAGTGCAGTATTGTCTCCAAGCAAATAACAGCAGTGCAGTAAATAGCAGCAAGGTGTAGTAAACTAGTCTGGGAGTGATGAAGGATCCGCAGCACCAACAGTTAGTTAATAATATAGTTATTATTTGTAGAATTAGAGTCCAGCTGTGGTGGCGTAGGTTTGTTTTCCTTTTATTTCTCTGATTCACTGTGTTCATCGCCAAGGCCGCTCCCTCTCTTCATTCAGGCTCGCTCAATCACAGCTGCTCTCTCTTTCTCTCTCTCTCTCAGAAACACCTTCGAACCTCGGATCGAAAACTTCAATAAAAGCTTTTAATGCATTTGTTTTTTTTCTTAAAAGATGTTTCAGTTCGGTACAACCTTTTTTTCTCCTCCTCTCAGATCCTCAAATAAAGAAATCATTTTCAGATGGGCTGTATTAACTTCTTGTGCCTCTTGCAGCTGATATACTTTGTGAGTTCATATTAAAAAGGAAATTGCAAAATGACCTTGAGATACAGGAACAGACAACATGCTGAAAAGAGGGAACCCTGATCAGTAATTACATTTCTTTCTTTCTGTCATTAAAACAAATTAATTTCCACAGCAGCAACACTACAAACACACACTAAACAAGAGATTTGATATTTACTTGTAACTTTTGTCACAAAAATGTATTTGCAATGATCAGAAGAATACATGTGAACAGGAGCTTTGCATGTTTTCTAGAGAAGTACTGCTGAAGACTTTGCGCCTCGGTGAGCGGGCCGCATACCATTCCTCTGCAGGAATTTACAATGGCATCAGCAGTTGTTAGCAGCAGAGCAAATGGGCTTTAATCTGGCAGTGAACTCCAAACATATTGGTTTACAGGGAATACTTTAAAAGAATAAAGGCTAAATCGACAATATGTTACTTCGTCCCTCTTGCCCTGCTGGCTCTCAGCACACTGGATCCTAATGAGAGTTTATTTTCTTTAAAAACAGCCCACAAATACATTCAATTAAATTTTATTTATATAGCGCTAAATCACAACAACAGTTATCTCTGAGCGCTTTTCATAAAAGAGCAGGTCTAGACCGTACTCTATGATGCCATTTACAGAAATACATGCATTAATAGTTTTCAGACAAACACGGAGCTCTATGGCTCAGAGGAAGAAGAGATATCAGTAGTTGTTAGTAGATACCATCAGTGCTGGGTATGGTCTTTATAAATGTGACCTACTGACAATAACAAAAATACAGAATTTCACCAGATTTATCCTTTAAGGACGATATAAACCTTAACACTCAGTATTGGACTGCCATATTTTGGCTTATTAACGGCTTTTAATTGATGCCATTATCTATGGCTGAAAGGGAGGAATCTTTAAAATAAAGTCAGAGTCTTACTAAATAATTAACGGTGGTACTTTTTAACCCTTTGAAAACAGACCTCATGCCTGTGGGACACATAGCATGAACCCATTTAAATCTGTCTAAAATAAAAAATGTCCGGTGTCTTTCTTTCGCATCATCAGGTTGCGATTATGAGATACGCTCATTATGACATCATTATGTCACATGCGGTACAAGCTGTGCTGTGGCGTTCAGAGGATTGCCTTGAACTGCCCGCGGGAGATCGTTGTTTGCATGATTCTGTTCGATAAAACCTTAACAGCTAGAGCATTCATTCATCATGCGGCAGAAAGACGTCCGTCATGTATATTGGAGCACTTTTTGTCTTGGCGCAACGTTTCGGTGCTAGACCTTCATCAGGCAAAATGACAAAGATTTTGCCTGATGAAGTTCTAGCACCGAAACGTTGCCAGCAGTTAGACAGTGTGCGGGAGTTTTTATTGACTTACATAATCGTTTAGCTTAGATTAATGATACTCCAAGATATTACATCGTAATAATCAAAAATACCAATGTAGGCCCTGGCGGACCATTTCTATTGTAGAGGGGTTACAATTCTGATGAGTAATTTTAATCAACCATCAACTTTTTTTTTTTTTTTTTTTAAGAAAGGGGGAATTGCAGTCTTGTAAAAACAGAAACTCACGTCTGTGGCGTAGAGGATGTCTATGATCCTCTGCAGTGTGGGGTCGCCCTCTCCTTCCTTCTCCTGGCAAATCAGTTCAATGTTCCGCAGCTTACCGAAATAAAAGTCTCTCTCCTTCTCCATGTCCTGAATGGTAGATTTCAGGATCTCAACCTTTGGAGGAAAAAAAGTGGCCAAAACAACAGTTAAGTTTTCACTTTCGAGACACAATATTATGTAAAAGCAGTATAATTTATTTGCTTGTTGTAAAACTAACAAGTTATTTCACTTTCCAATAGTAATAGTACAGCTGGTGATTTTTGTTTTTGTTTTAAGGTGGCGTGCTGACCTCATTCATGAGCTCCGCCCTCTCCTCATCGCCTCCTCCCATCACAGGTTTCCTCGCACTGACGTTAGCCAACTTGGGCGCTACCTTGGCAACGGGTGGCCTCTGGGGAGCTGAAGAGACAAAGATGAGACGGTTATTAACAAGAGGAAAACAAAGTAAATATCAAATATTTGACCCACTAGACCAACCAGAGCTCGGACTTTGACTGATGGCCTTTTTAGGTGGCTTGTTGAGAGCTGACGTGGCAACGTTTGGTGTGGGCATGGCGTCCTGGCCCTGCCTCGCCTCCACTGGGTCGTACTCCTTCCCATCGTAGTTGGCATCAAAGAACTTCTTAAACCACTGGACAAACTCAAAGTTGTCCTGGAACTTCCCCTTCACCAGTTTGTCTACTGGAATGATCTGGAAGCAAAGAGACCGCGAGAGAATTAAGACCAGAGTGTTGGGAGGGCGTCAGCTGGTAGCTTCACTGTCGTTAGCATGCTGGTATCGTTACATTTTCAGCATCAACGTCAATACAGTTAATGTGCTTTGGTACAGATATCAAAATTATGTTTTTTTAAATACCTTGCAAAGCACATTTTTCTACCGAACTCTTTAACTTTAACTTGGTATGTTGAACTTCCAGCAGCATCAGAACGTTATCATTCATGTGTGTCACCTGATGAATATAGGTCTAATATTTACTCTCTTTTAGCTCTGTTGTTGGAACCTAATATGCACACGCAAATCATCTCGTCAGCGCACATTTTCCTCATATTGTGGCAGATTCTTCACTGTGACACTGAGGGCAGCTACTGACCTGGTGGAACTAAATTATGAACCAACAACGCCTGGACTGTATATGACACTAGCAAAAAATATGTTAATTAAACCGCATTAAAAAGCCAGAAATTCAAAACTGCAGTGACAAATAAGAGCAGCAGTAAACAACAAAAGAAGTCAGTGGACGAGGCTCGGCGGTAAACCCAATTACTCAACAATGGAGGAAGCTGACATCACGGGACAATGCACTCACAAAGCATGAAGACGGGGTCTAGAGCTGACACAAAGCCAGGGATTAAAACCCTGAACAGCTATGAATACACCGATGTGCTCGTTCAAGTATCTGCAAGAACGAACTATGAAAACCCAGGCACGTCAAACTGTGCACAGATCTACAGTAATGTCTTCAAAACAAATGGACGGCAGGAAGGAAGCTGACCCATGAATAAATTATGGCAGCTTTGTCAATAGTCCTGCAAGCTGTTGCATGTTCTGTCTGAAAACAAAATAACTAGGCTGGATCTGCCCTGCCCTGTATAATCTTTGTTGGCTTTTTGACAATCTCAAAACATTATGAAGTGTTCAGATCTGCAAGAAGCTGTTAAAGCAATAACAAATAGATTTTAAAACCTGATATAGAAGAAGAGGGAAGGGACTGGTAGTGTACAGGGAAAACATACAAGGCAGCAGAACAGTGTTTATTTTAAACAAAACATATGATTTGATTCTAATGCACTTTGTGGCACAAAAAAAAAGGGGTTTGAAAATACAGTTGAGCAACTATAAATGTCTACCTATTAATAGTTATCTCATTTCTTTTTGACAGATGAAACCTTGCAGAGTATCCAAAGAGACAGACAAGCTGACAAAGTGCTAAAAAAAAAACCCCAAAATGACTCATGATCAGATCAGCAGAGGCAGCTCAGCTGGTTGGGAGGGGGCGATTCAGTTTGCATTTCAAGTGGCAGTAAGGAACAACTGGTGAAGTTAATCTTAAAATATTTTATAATGCTCTGTTCTAACAGCTACAGAGGGTGATCAAGGCTCAAGACATTTCGTTTTGTTGTAGCAGTTGCTGTAAACTTATGAAACATTTGGTTTTCAACATTCTTAACAGTCCTTTATACACCGTCATACACTCGATAGCTGATTATTATCTACAGTGACAGAAGCGTATGTGAGAAACGATGGTAATCCAGTAAATAAATTTGCAGCGTTTTCCCCCACCACTGGAAAGAGTGGGCAGGTTGCCCAGTAATCTGGACCAAGTGCTCACTAATCCTGCATAACCAGGCAACATGCTCACTCATTTTCAGCGCTACTGATGACGGCTGTTAGAGGAGTCTGCTGCTGTGAAGACACTATTAATGTGATTCCTGCAGCTGCCCCACATTTAAAACTTATCGAGGCTTTTTAATGTGACGCAGCAATAGAAAGAAGCAGCCTCTTTTTTTTTTTAAACTTTGAGATATATGTACAATCCTGGGAGAAAATGAACTACATACATCTTCCTGTGAGATGTAACTCCATACATATCATACTGTCTAAAGGTAAAAATTATTTCATTGACAATGGGAGTCCAATTTATCTGTGCTGTTTTGCCTGCAGCCATTTCCATGTGAGAGTTATTTATCCTGTCATACGTTAATCTGGGACCACAGTCTCACTAGAATAAATTTTGTCCCCGAGAAACCCATTGCATAAACTTGCTTTTTACATATATTATTTTAATCCAACAGAACTCCCTATAAAAATGAAATAAGATAAGATAAGAAGTGCAGGTGACAGGCTCACATCACACTGTAGGTGAACTTAAACAGAGCCGTTCCTGTTAAATAGAAAACCACGTGTACAGTGCCTGCGTCACAGGGTATTATCACCACTGCTCACGGCTTCATGCAGGACATTTAGCATATGAGGGCTAAACATTATGAAATGGTTTGCTGGTTTGTATTAGTGGAGTAAACGAGCACCTAGAAGTGCCCTCTAATATCAGAAATCTAGATCAGAAGTCTTATTTATTTCCAGACCTTCGGCACTTATATTGGGTGCACCATGTAAGCTGACACGAGTGCAGATGACGAGTTTTGCTACTTACTTTGTCGACTCCCATCTTTTTGAAGGAAACCTGCAGAAGCTTGAAGTTATGGATGTATTCGTGCTCCAACTTGGCACCGAATTTTACTTTCTTCAGAGGCACAGAGTTGGGAAACAACATGTCCATGAACTGGCAGTAGGCAGCACCTGGAAAAAATAAATTACTTTACAAGTCTGCATGTCTAAAATAATAAAAATCGAGTGTGCGCTGCATGTTTAGAATCATTGGATGCCAAAAACAAGACAAATTATGAATATGCGAGAGCAGAACAGAAATTAATACAAACAGGGCTCAGATTCTTTCAAGCAAGGACAGAAAACGAACAAAACACTTTACGGTTTTGTTTTTTGTTTTCTTTTTTTAAACAGTAGCTGAGAGTTGGCTGCCTGTCTCAACGGTAAATGAACGGTATTTACAAACACAAAAGCCATCCCAACACTCTTCGTAATATTCACTCCATGCCAAAACTCCTTTCCTAGAGGGGATTTAAATGGACTCAAAAGGTGACACTGAATACAGTCTTGTACTTTCTTTGCTTTTATAAGTTCTTGTATGGCTGTTTGTGTTTACACAACATTCAGCACTTACATTTTCCAGAGTAGGATTAATAAAAGAGTTTCTTAAATAGTAATGCATTTGAAAAGCTTGGCTTCTTATTCTTTCACTACCTTCTACAATATTACCACCACCTAAACACTGTGGGCCAGATTTACTAAAGGTTTGCGTGACCAAAAACGTGTGCAAACTTGATATCACCAGCAAATTAACACGTAAGCTGATCTACAGATCTGTGTGCACAGAGAATGACGTCTTTCAAAAGTGCAAGATAGCACCTGTTGTTCATTTACTACTTTTGCCTTAATGAATATGCAATTTGTGGTGTTTCAATTTTATTGTGCAAAGTAATGGGAGGGTAACATGCAAATACATTTATGTACTACACACAATCTGATCTAACAAGCCTAAAAGCAATTGCATGCGAATGCAACAGCATCTGTATTTAATATGTTTGCACAACGCTTGGTGGTTTGCGCCTTCCTTTCAGAGATGGCTGCTGTTATCACTGCGAGAAGGAGACACAGCCGTAATGAAAGAAAACAGAGATATTAACAATATCAGATATTATTCTATATCCAATACATAGCTTAGAAATAAAAAAATTTTATTCATTCAAACTATATGAATTAAATTGTTTTTTTTGTATTTTCCTTTAGTTTTGGAAATACAGGTGTATTAACATTCATGCCAATAAAGCAAATTTCGTTTCGACCCGTCTTCTTTTTCTCAGTGAGATGGAAGAATTTAGAAAGTTGCACTGCTGCAGCTGCAAAGAGCCCCCAGCTGCAGCAGTGCATGGATCACACCTAATATTCATCCAGCCAGAGGGAACGATCACCAACTGTTCACAGCGCGCCGGTTGTAATAGCGACACAACCCATTGTAGGTATCGGAGAGGGAATGGGGCGTTGGAGTGTAGGAGGCCAGGGACAGGAGATCGCGGAGCGACCGGGCACAGTGCGGTCGGTCGGTGGTTGTTCCCTCTGGCTGGATGAAGCACGATCTGCTGGCATTTCCTTGCATCTGGGTCACTCCAGCATACGGTAGTTGTTTCTGCTGGGGTTTTCCAAGGCAGTTTTTCAGGTGTGCTGTCCAAAGTACTTAGTACCCTTGAGCAGCCCTATGATAAAACTTATTTTGACACAAACTCTTAAACTAAAAATCCAGTTGACTAATGAATCTGTCCACCAGAGATTAAAGCCAGCTGTGCCGGCATCCGCTGTTCTGACACGCCTTTAAATTACACACACAAAAGGGTTTGGACAGTAACAAACTAGACAGAGGAACTACACACGCATGCACAGGCAGATGGGCGTGAAACAAAGGAGTGTAGGATAGTAGCACTTCATAGGATGGCTTCCATCACGCTTTGAAACAGCGTTAGCCAATATATCTGACAGCAACGACCATGCAGGGGGTTTGATCCACAATTAATGTTGAAGGTCTTGGTGACCATTAAATATGTTAAATTGTACTACCAACACCTGGCCAAACACGATGTTTATTAAAAGTATGGTAATATAAATACCATAAATGCTAATGGACTAAATCAGGACATCGCTCACGAGCATGTTTTATTGGCTCATGTGATAAAAACAGATGCTTCAGTGATCCATTCTCACGTTGTCAACGACTGACCTCTTGATCCAAGACACTAGTGAAGTCACACAGTCGTGCAAAAAATCACGCATGCTTACATCATCCTGGTCCTACAACTGTCTGTTAATTAAACATTACAGTTGCACCCATGATAAGAGACAGATTTAGAAATAAAATATATAAATGGAGAAAAGAAATGTCTTACCTGTACACAACATTTCTATCTTGGTGAGGTTCATCTGTAGAGATTCATTGATCCAGACCAACATGTCATGACGACTTAAGTTGTCGCTGGTCACTGAGGTCGAGTACACGTTCACAGCCATTGTCGGTCTGCGGAGGAGAGGACACGTGTGAAACGGAGAGAAGAATTTACATGATGACTGGTTTAATCTGTCAGAGCAGACAATGTAAGCCTACCAGTACATAGCTGACGGCAGAGAGTTAATTTGCATCTGTAATGTTTTGTCATTATTATGAGCCAAATTATAAATACGTCGGAAATTACTTGTGTAAATTATTTAAAGTGGCTTTTAAATAATGTACTCTATTTTGTGGCAACACTGGGGCTGCAACTAACTATTATTTTTGATTAATTTGCTGAGTATTTTCTCTATTGATCATTTGGCCTTTAATATTTCAGACAATTAACAAAAAGTTCCCATCACAATTTCCTTAAGCCCAAGCTGACATCTTCACATTCCCTTTATCATGCGACCCAAGAGTCCTACACCCCAAAATATTCAGTTTAATATCATAAAAGACAAAGAAAGCCAGCAAATATTTACATTTACAAAAAATTATGCAACTACCCTATCAAAATATTTTTCGAATAATATTCTGTCTTCTGACTTATCAATTAATCAACTAATCATTAGATAACACCATAAAATAGTACACAAGACATCTAATCACATGAGCAAGTTCACATCTCATTCTGAATTTGGGTGCAGTTAGAAACCCAATAGAGCCCGGCCCCTGGCTTCTTGACAGGGAAAGAGTTGCACTGGCTGGCCCCAATCAATCAACAGATATAACTTTACACTGAAGACAAGACTCTAGGCACACCCAAATGTGGTGGCACCCAAAACAATACTTTATAATAAGCACAATTTAAAATCATTAAGAATTTGAAATACGACGAGCCAAAGTCATATATTGCTGGATGACAGCAGTATTATCAATTACAGAAGTCAGAAACTACAAAATTATTAATTATGTGTACACTATAATCATTAGATACAGATATATAATGACATAGGACTGCGCGTCTCCATAAGGTCTGTAGTCTGTACAGCAGAAGCCCTTATCCATAGCTTGGGATCATCTCCAGGTCAGGCCCGGTCAGTTATTTTCTCAACAGCTGAGTGCAATAGCCTGAGGGCCTTACAGGAATAACAGTTCTCTTCAAATTTAGTGAACAACTGTACATGGATCTAAACGAGAGATAACACAAGCATCCTGTCATGTGTTAGTGAGAATTTTCAATCAATACAAGTCATATACAATACTGATGCCAATTCTGCCGATTCACAAAAATAAAATGGTTGGTTTTTAACTGTCGTTGTCACCGTTTCACATATTTAATATCCAACTAACAACTTCCTTTTAAAATATATTGGATTCAAAGAATAACAACTCAACAATGAAGTACAGGAGAACTAACATTATTAATACTGCAACTAACGATAATTTTCATTAGACTAATCTGCAGATAATTTTCATGATTGATCGATTAGTCTATAAAACGTCTTTGAAAATTTTGAAATATTCTTATCACAATATTCCACGGCCCAAAAGTGAGGTCTTTAGAGCGCTTCTTTTATCCAACCAACAGTCCAAAACCCAAAAACTCTTCAGATACCATCATAATTGACCAAAAAAATAGCAGCATTTCCTTACATTTAAGATGAAACCAGCAAGATTTCACATTTTTGCTGAAACAATTAATCAAATATCACATGAAGGGATACTGTTGAGGGATAACTGTTGAGGTTTTACCTGTCGTTGTCACTCTGTTACACATATTAAACATCTAACTAACAATTTCCTTTCAAATGTATTGGATTCAAAGTATAACTCCTCAACAAATGAAGTGCAGGTCAACTAACAATATTAGGCTAATAACTTAATAGAGCTAAAACGACATAAGAAGATATTAAACATACCAAATATTACCAGTTTCCAGCTTCTCAAATGTGCTAATTTTCTGATTCCCCCTGTGTTTGATATTGTTGTAAATGTATTATATTGAGGTTGAGGACTGTTGCCAGGACAGCAACCTAAAAATGGTATCTGAGAGTATTTTTCACAATTTTCTAATATTTCATAGGCTGAAGTGTTAATTAAGAAAATAATCAATAATGAAATAATCGTTAGTTTGAGCTCTACCAACTATTTTTAGCTACTATTTCATTCCAGTTGGCTAAGGGCAACAGGGCCCTGGTGAGGAACTTAACGGTTAGCCGACTGGACAAGCAATTTAGCTCCATCAATAGCTTAGCTTAGCTGTGCGGCGACCCAGCAGACTACAGGAGCAGTTAACACACAAGCAACCATTTGACAATTGATTAAATTGGTAGACAATTTCCTTGTATTGGCGACCGACGATGTAGCTAATTAGCTACGTTTCTGTCACTGGCTTGTAACCGTGAGCCGGGGTTATCTCCCAGCCAGTAAGACGTGTTTCCCCGCCCTGAAAATCACCACGGCACCTCGCTAGCTTCAGTTAGCTTATAGCTGTTAATGCGACACGCGTTGTTTTTAGTGTTGGATCGAAAGCGCTGGATTTGTCCGAATTTCTATTAAAACCGTGTCTTAGCTACAGAAGCGTGCTGCGCTAGTTGGTGTTACTCGGCAGCCAAACGGTCGCATCCCGGTTAGCTAGCTCCATCTTAGCTAACAGAGCCGCCGTTTCCCATGCCGACAAATGACGTTAAATGACATCGTGTTGTAAGCGCCGTTGAACCTACCTTGAGTGGATTGACTTTCACAGCTCTTGGACACGATTGTTTAGTTTTCTCGGCTGTAACCCTGTATCATAAAAAAAGCCTATCAGTAATTGTTTCGACGTTATTGCCACTTCTGCTTTTTCTCTTCTTCTTCTTCTTCTCGGCAGCTAACGTTCACTCTACCGGCAGCGGAAGAACCGATTTGGTGACGTCCTGACGTAACGGGTAACGCCTAAAAACGTAACGACGGCGAGACCCTTTATGACACAACGTACAAATTTTTATTTTTATTATTTTTTTTAATACACAGTCTTATTTTGGTCGGCAAATCTTTTTAACATTTATTCTTTAAAACTTAGTAGTCGCTATTTAAAAGTAACCATTCCCATTTTACTAGTAATAATAGATTAGATACTAGAAGGCTACTTACTTTTTAGTTACTATTAATAACTATTCCATTAGTTACTTGTAACTATCTTTTAGTTACTAGTAACGCATTTCAGATTTTTGCCATTGACATCAATAGGGCTCTACAGTTCAGACATCATCTATTTGAATAGTTACTAGTACCTATTTCCATTTTTCTAGTATCTATTGTTTAGATACTACATATTCAATAAATACTAGTTCTTATTTGAATAGTTACTAGTAACTATTTCCATTTTACTAGTATCTATTGTTTAGATACTAGTTCTTATTTGAATAGTTACTAGTAACTATTTCCATTTTTCTAGTATCTATTGTTTAGATACTACATATTCAATAGATACTGGTTCTTATTTGAATAGTTACTAGTAACTATTTCCATTTTACTAGTATCTATTGTTTAGATACTAGTTCTTATTTGAATAGTTACTAGTAACTATTTCCATTTTTCTAGTATCTATTGTTTAGATACTACATATTCAATAGATACTGGTTCTTATTTGAATAGTTACTAGTAACTATTTCCATTTTACTAGTATCTATTGTTTAGATACTAATTCTTATTTGAATAGTTACTAGTACCTATTTCCATTTTACTAGTATCTATTGTTTAGATACTACATATTCAATAAATACTGGTTCTTATTTGAATAGTTACTAGTAACTATTTCCATTTTTCTAGTATCTATTGTTTAGATACTACATATTCAATAGATACTGGTTCTTATTTGAATAGTTACTAGTAACTATTTCCATTTTACTAGTATCTATTATTCAGATACAAGTACAAGTAAGATTTCTAATAAATATCGTATTTACTTTACTCGTATTTAATATTTATTTAAAGATGTTTTCACTTAAAAACTGCAAGTTTTTAGGAATTATTTAGGAGATTTCTGTGGTCACAAATAGACCTTCACTCATAAAAATATCTTTTTCAGTACCACAAGCTTTTGTTTCAGACAACAAAACACCATCAGTATTTTTAACGAATTACTGTGTTTTTTTTGTGCAAACCTGGAGACTGACAGGGTGATTTAAGGATTGTTTGCACGGCAGGATTTAAGATCTTAAATATTCTTTTATATAAATGATATTTAGTCAGTTAACCTTTCTATTTTATAAACATCTATTTCCATTAATGAAGGTTGAAATCCTGATTTTTACACCTTCTTTACACTGCCAGGAATAAAATTCTGATATGTGCAAGAACTGAACCCTTTAATTAGTTTTTTTGCTCCACTAAAAGTAGTCAAGTTTAAATATGAGCATAAAGCTACTGTTATAAGTAGCTTTAGGCTAGATAATCTTATCTCTACAGAATTGCTGCCACAAAGTTGCCAAAACCTTGAGATAACTGAGAAAATAAATGGTAGCTACATGTACCCTGTTTGTACGTTAAAAACCTTTATAGATATCAAACGTCAGTTATTGGACACATAATAAAGACGCCATCCCTGGAATCTATTATTTTTATTGATCTTTTTAAAAGTCCCATTAAAAAATCCCTTATTTTAATTCAATCACAAATATAGATAAAAATGAGTTTAACACAGAGCCCCATTCTATGTTCAAACATTTATACATTTAACAACACTGCATGTGCCTCATTAAAAAAAAATTTATATAAAAACAACAGTATCTGGTACAGTACAGAGATGATCCGGGGCAGCACAGGTGAGACACTTTAGTTTCCCCTCCACACTTACACACCTTCTGAATTCATTCCCCAGGTGTAAATGTGCAAACACACTGTACAGCACACTTAAAGCCCCTCACCCAAAACAGTTCTCAAAACCTGTGTTCATGATACAATCATCAGTCAGCAAAATATATATATATATATATATAAAAAAAAGACATGTTAAATTCATTACCATGAAGGGGTATTCTGTTAGACTGTGCAGTGCATGCAGCTTCAAAATAGTGTTCAACATGACAACTAAATTACTTGTTCATTTGCATATCCTGCTTGGTTATTATAGCTTTACACACACAAGTGCACTTGAATAATCCGCCGAATGAACGTAACTTTAGCAACTCAGAGCTTGTTGTGTACATTTCTTGGCATAGATAGACATATGACTTAATTGACTTTAAGAACGGTATTGATTCAGTAATATTGTCAAGTATTGAACAATAAAGTCAGTTCCAGCTTATGTTAACATAGTTAGGCATTAACTAACAAAAATGGACAGTAATTGACAGTGAATGATTTAAATTCATTTCCCTTGACACAGAAAAGTAACATTTTTAACAATAAAAAAAGAAGAAAATTCTTGGACTGAAAGATCAGCTTTAGGTAATATATAATGAAGGTAGGTGTTATACGTCTGTGTCCTGAAGAGTAAAGCCTTACAAACGTCACCCTTTCTCTAAAACAAAACACGATACAGGTGATTATGAGGCTGCAGGTAACTGCAATCATCAGTATGGTTTTCTTATTATTAGCACCAAAGCAGCAATAACACTCTTAAGGGCCTTAGTGTTATCAGTTTTGTTGGTGTGAAAGTGGCAGTGCACACACCTGTACACACATATAGCACCAATGCAACAATAACAGTTCAATAGTCTTCCCAAATACAAATAAAAGCTGTCCTCAATTACTTCCTACTTCTCAGAGTTTCCCAAAACATACAAGTATAGAACAAAAGGACGAGAATGAAAGTTAAAAACTGATGTAAAAAAGATAAAAAGTCTGTGTCCGAACTTGCGTCTTCTCAAATACCTTTATCGACAGACAGTTAGTTAGTTTGGTATAAACATGGCATGTGTGAGCAGAATATAACAGTTTTAAAAATACAGCAGATCTTAATCCAATAAAAAAAGTAATGAGTTCTGCTTTTGTCCTGATAAAATTATTCAAATATTACAGTAAAGCAGCGAGACATCTCTCAGTTCAACATGATTCACACCTTAAAAAAACAAGAAACTAAAATGTAGAGGTGGCGGTGTAACCCTATTACCAGTGAGGTTTCTTTACGCCATCTAAGCTAAAATGTGTTGCTGTTCACTGAGTAGTAGCACCACTGACAAATCACTAAGCAGCATGGAGGAAAAAAGAAAAGGATTGGCAGTGTTCTTTATACTCCAGTAGGCGGCAAGGTTCAGGATGAAAATGCAGAATTTTCTATCCAAGAAAGACAGAAGGGCTTTGAAGGCCAAAGTGACAAACTGCATGTGTGACACGATGCAAGAGATTCAATTGCATAGTGGACAAAATGTCCCCATGGCAGTAATCCACAGGAGCCGGTCAGTGAGCTCTGTTTTTTCTTTTGAAGTAGTAGGAGACATTTATAGACAATTTATGCTCCATCTAGTTCTTGTAAACCATGTGTTGGGGCAAAAACACCTTACATATTGTGCTATACAAAAATCTATCCAACCTCCCCTATCTTAGTTGCTGTAGTTCTGGAGAGGCAGGGGAAGACGGGGAGGGGGAGGTGGTGGACATGATGGACGTGGTCAAGGGAGGCAGCTCCTCACAGGCAAAATAGTCCTTCAGGGGAGCGAAGAGGTGACGGATGACCGGCACGCTCCACGCCTTCCCCAGCACCTTCTGCCTCTGCTGCCGGTTCATGTTCCTCACGTCGGTGTAATGTTTGGGGAAACCAAAGATTCTGGTAAAGAACGAGTGACAAAATGTAGAGCAATCGATTAGTCCCATCAAATTAATCAGCAACTACTTTAATAAAAAAGGCTGATCGTTTCAGTCATTTTTCAGGCAGAAGTGCTAAATATTCTCTGGTTCCTGCTTCTGAAATGTGAATATCTGCAGGGTTTTCTTACTCTTTTATGACAGTTTTATGAAGGCATCTGAGGATATCAGCTTTAGCTCCAGGACATAATAATGTAATAAACAATTTTCACTGTTTTCTGATGTTTTACAGACCAAATGTCTATTAATCAGAAAAGAATTGCCACATTAATTGATAATGGAAATAATCATTAGTTGCAGCCTTAGTTAATTTAAAAAAAAAAAAAGGTGAGGTGGAGCTCAGAGCTGTCTCAGGGGACAAAGATGTAGGGCAGGTCACGGGGACACCCCAGCTCCCTCATGCAATTTGCTGTTGTGCCACATGATGTATTTGGTATTCCTAGTTTTGATATGGTAAAAAAAATGTGTTTTTGTTGGGTTGCTATCCAGCAGCTTCTCCACAGTGGAAACCTGGCTATTGTTAGCATGCTACAGCTGAACAAGTTGGGAACTCTCTATTGGTAAAGGACTTCTAGTCGGTCCATCCTGGTCAGGGGGATCTTACTGTATCATGAGGGGTAGATGAAAGCTGTCCAGTGTGGGTATAAAAGTCTGTATTTTTGTGTTAATGTTATCTCTTATCTCTGCCTAGATTCAGTGTAAAAGCAGTACAAAGCGTTAAAATTTATTGACCAGAGTAACAGCATTAATGTTAAAACTGGACTGGAAATAAAAAGATAAACAGCAATAATTAAGCAATGCTGAGATCTGAGCAGCAGCAAGAAAAACAAACCCAGACCAGGAGATGATGTGATCCACCAGGACCTTTCCCTGCACACGCAAACAGACACACACACACACACACACGAACATAAGTATCAAGAAGCCTACTTCTCTAGTTCAGTGATCCAGAGGTTGTCCTCTCTGCCGTTCTGGAGGACAGGCAGCTGAGCGACGCCTTTGCCCTGCTTCAGAGAGTTTGGATTGGTGGTGATCGTCCTCACCTTAGTGACCTGAGCAAAAACAACATACAGTCGTGATTAATGTTCCTTAATAAACAAAACTAAACACATTAATTATGAAAAATAAAGGGATTGTAGAGAACACAAAATGACCGCATAAAACGGAACCAGCAGGTTCGATCACTGACCCTGGCTTCTCTACCGATCTCTAAACAGTCCTGGAGACTCAGCTTGTCGTTCTGGGAGGCTATAATGGGCCTGATGGGAGATAAGCAGAAAAAAACCTTCATTTGTATATGACATGAAAAAAAAAACACAAGTTACTAAGTGTTTTACAAGATGAAGACACAAGAAGGAGAGAAGTAAAAGAGACGCAGAAGACATATTTTGCCCCGTCATGCTCCTGCCCCTTTTTGGGAAGTAAATGCAAATTCCGAGTTTTTTTAATTAATAAAACAAAATATGAAAACCATTTTGCTTTTTAGCTTAGGAGCCAGGCAACGATTATGTCATGGCCGATCAACGATAGGAGTAGTTATATAGAAAAATTATAGAAAAAGTGGAGTGTCCTTTTATTCTACCCCATCAAAGTGAACGACCATGACAAAAAATACCATATTAAATCTCTAGGTTATGTTGTTGAAACACTTTATTTTGCCGTTTCAGTCCATCCAATGTGACGTTACTATAAAATACTTACATCGCTTTGTCAAAGTGGAACCACTGTCTCTCATTTGATAGCAGTTTGTCCTTATTACGCAACTTTTTACTACGAGGTGAGAGGTCAGGTCTGGTTTAGCACCACTTTCTACGTTACTTTCAAAGTCCATAATTAGAACGTAGGTCGGCTCACAATTTTTGTGAATTATTAATGCTAAAATACCGTCTGCTCCCTTTAGAGCGAACAGACTGCTAAACCAAACTCCACAGTTACCCATTTTCATCCTCTCTGGTGATGGCGTGAAGCTACTTTTTACCTCCCTTTGCTCTTTGGTGTAGCAAAGAAAATGTAAAACTCTATTTTTTATTTATTTTTTATTTGATGTGCAAAATGTGACAGAGCAGCTTTTAGTCGTGGTGCCACTAGTGTTTCAATTTGGTGCTTGCACTTATACAGCGCTCGTTTTCACCCAAAAGAAACGTGGTAGTTACGATGACATGAAAATGATGTATGACTGGTCGAAATCTATAAAAGCAGGAAGAAAGTGTACTAACCACTAACATGCTACTTTTACTGATACCACTACTGCTAAAGAACAACTATATATAACTACAGTAGATATAAATTATTTCATTAGTTTTTTAATAATTTAACCATTATAATTTATGATTAATTAAACGTCTTACCTGCTCATCCCTGGGATGTTTCCCCAGAAGTAACGAGCTCTGTGGGCGGGGCTAACTTTGACTGCATCCACCAGCACCGGGTTGCACTGTTGAACAATCAGATAGCAGCAACAGTCAGTTCTCAGAGTTTAGAAGATGTTAGTTAGAGGAAAACTGCAGTGCAACAAGGAAAGAAGGAAGTGGCGGGAAGAAAACATGAAGGCAGAGGGAAGAGAATAAAAAGTAACAGGATAAAGGGAACGAAAGAACCGAAAAGGAGAGAAGGATGGATACAGGCTTATCTTATCATCCTAAGATAAGCCTTTATTGATCCCCAAAGGGAAAAGTACAGATTACTTGTACATAAAATAAAAAATAAGAACAGAAAACAATACAAGAGCAATTAAACTAAAAATGACAGGCAAGCAGTACACATACATACAGAACCCACGACCAGTGTTGTACTTAAACTAATAGTAAAGTACTGTCTCAAGTGAAGTGACAAAGTGGTGTGTTTGTAGCAGCTAAGTAAAGTTCATGTTAGAGTGATATGATACCATCTATTGTAACAGCAAACATCAGATGAAAATATAATATGATGATAAGTAATGATGCTCTGTGTTTGTCTTAATTAATTTATAGAATTTTAATAGAAATAAAATGTAATAAAACATAATATTTACACAATATGCTATGGGAAATTAAATGTAATAATAATAATCTTTAATTATTATTATTGAATGTAATATGAAGTGAGATGTAGTAATAAAGCATAACTATTAATATACTTTGTTATGTATAGTAAGAAGAGGAGAGCACTAAAGATAAAAAGGATCCAACAGAAACCAAACAGAACCGGATGGGGCGTACCTCGAGGAAGCGGCAGATGTTGACTTTGTCATGTGTGTTCATGAAGACCACGTTCTCAAACAGCCAGAAGAATGGCCTCGGGTCTTCCTCTTTGGGCTTCAGCAGTTGAAGGATGCGGTAGTAATCAAAGAACAGCCTGCCAGTGCCCTCTGTCGGAGAGAGAAGTGAATTACAGCAAAGAAGAAAGGACATTTTTATACTAGTTTCAAACATAGAAAGCATCCGCATGACAACTGTGATTACAAAATTATCAGCATTGCAGTTAAGGCTGGAAATATTATTTAAAACCTAAAAGTTCCCAATTTACAAATACATGAAAGTAGCACCTTTCTAATAGAATCAGTGACTCGTTGGCATATTATAAACACAAATAATTTATTAATTTAAAGCTGAAAAGCATACAACACAGTAACGTACCATAGAGGCCTTTTCTGAATGGGTTGACGATGGAGAGGTCATTACAGGGGCTTCCTCCGATCAGCAAATCAAACGGACCCCACTGCTCGAGCTGCATCGTCAAAAGGGAACAAGGAGCTGATTTAATTTAGTCTTAGGCTAATTGTCACTTCAGTTGAGCTGTGTTGAGCTGTATGTATGTCTTCGTGTTCAATTAAATTTTATTAATAGAGCGCCAATTCATAAGTTGTCTTTTTGCACTTTTCATAGAGAGCCTGTCTTCTTTAACACAGCATGATGTTAATTTTGTAAATGATGGTTCCATTTAGAGAAAGATAGACGATAAAGCAGGGTATGCTTTAGGGGGAGGGACTACTGTGTGATTGAGAAGTCGCTACCATGGTGACCTACCAATCAGTATCCACTTGACTGTGTGCATTTAACAAGCTGTAAACTTGTTTTTGGATGAAGAACTTTGACCCTTTACGGTGTAAATCACACATGAATTATGGCTGCACCTCAATCACATACAACTATATGGGGAAAGCCTGTAAACAGCAAAGATGGCGTTTGTCCCGCCAGAAAGCCAATCATGTATAGAGCAGGTTTAACCCACACGCTTTCAAATGACTCAAAACAACAAAATATGAGACTTTAAATAAAAGCATAGGATTCAAATGAGTCAGATATCAAACAGAGTCACAGAGAATATGGTAGCAAGAAAAAATAATTTAAACGTTATCAACTGTGTAAGAATGTGAACATGTTCAGGAAGAACAACAAACAGTGTGTGTGTGTGAACATACGAATTCCTGGGAGATAGACCGAGCGTCACCAACATGCACAATCTTTCCATCGTGGTTGACGGTCGCCACAGCAATTGAATCCTCGCAGACCTCTGAGGCAACATATTTCTCTACTTTGAAGCCAAGATCCTTCAGCACTAGGTACCCTGAAACAAAAAGAATAAAAAAAATACATACTGTAAGCTTCTGACTGACATCAGGAATGAAAATGTTCTGTTTTAAACAAATATACAGTATAATCATAATTAGAATTTATAAGAGCAGAAAAGTATCTCAGAATAGTGAGGTCAGAACAGAGGAGTGAACCATCAGAGCAAACTACAATCCCAAAAAGAGAGTTGTTTCCCCAAAAGCATCTTAAGGCTAAAGTGGTTGTAAAATCATTCTTACAAACTTTATTAAGATTAAGAGGTGTTTCCCAAAAGCATCAAAACTTAGGATGCTCTTAGAAATGTTAGTAGATTAAAGATTAACCATAAGAGCACCTTAAAAAGCTCCAGCTACTAATAAATTAACATCTTCTGACTGAAATGCCAGTTTCCTGATTGTATATTTTCTGGTTCCATACAGGTGCTGGTCATATAATTAGAATATCATCAAAAATTTGATTTATTTCAGTAATTCCATTCAAAAAGTGAAACTTGTATAATATATACATTCATTCTACACAGACTGATATATTTCAAGTGTTCATTACTTTTAATTTTGATGATTATAACTGACAACTAATGAAAACCCCAAAATCAGGATGTCAGAAAATTAGAATATTGTGAAAAGGTTCAATATTGAAGACACCTGGTGCCACACTCTAATCAGCTAATTAACTCAAAACACCTGCAAAGGCCTTTAAATGGCCTCTCAGTCTAGTTCTGTAGGCTACACAATCATGGGGAAGACTGTCCAAAAGACGACCTTGCACAAGGAGGACAAGACACAAAAGGTCATTGCTAAAGAGGCTGGCTGTCCACAGAGCTCTGTGTCCAAGCACATTAATAGAGAGGCGAAGGGAAGGAAAAGATGTGGTAGAAAAAAGTGTACAAGCAATAGGGATAACCGCACCCTGGAGAGGATTGTGAAACAAAACCTATTCAAATATGTGGGGGAGATTCACAAAGAGTGGACTGCAGCTGGAGTCAATGCTTCAAGAACCACCACGCACAGACGTATGCAAGACATGGGTTTCAGATGTCGCATTCCTTATGTCAAGACACTCTTGAACAAGACACAGCGTCAGAAGCGTCTCGCCTGGGCTAAAGACAAAAAGGACTGGACTGCTGCTGAGTGGTCCAAAGTTATGTTCTCTGATGAAAGTAAATTTTGCATTTCCTTTGGAAATCAAGGTCCCAGAGTCTGGAGGAAGAGAGGAGAGGCACAGAATCCACGTTGCTTGAAGTCCAGTGTAAAGTTTCCACAGTCAGTGATGGTTTGGGTGCCATGTCATCTGCTGGTGTTGGTCCACTGTGTTTTCTGAGGTCCAAGGTCAACGCAGCCGTCTACCAGGAAGTTTTAGAGCACTTCATGCTTCCTGCTGCTGACCAACTTTATGGAGATGCAGATTTCATTTTCCAACAGGACTTGACACCTGCGCACACAGTGCCAAAGCTACTAGTACCTGGTTTAAGGACCATGGTATCCCTGTTCTTAATTGGCCAGCAAACTGGCCTGACCTTAACCCTGTAGAAAATCTATGGGGTATTGTGAAGAGGAAGATGCGATACGCCAGACCCAACAATGCAGAAGAGCTGAAGGCCACTATCAGAGCAACATGGGCTCTCATAACACCTGAGCAGTGCCACAGACTGATGGACTCCATGCCACGCTGCATTGCTGCAGTAATTCAGGCAAAAGGAGCCCCAACTAAGTATTGAGTGCTGTACATGCTCATACTTCAGGTTCATACTTTTCATGTTCATACATTTCAGTTGGCCAACATTTCTAAAAATCCTTTATTTGTATTGGTCTTAAGTAATATTCAAATTTTCAGAGATACTGAATTTGGGATTTTCATTAGTTGTCAGTTTTAATCATCACAATTAAATGAAATAAACATCTGAAATATATCAGTCTGTGTGTAATGAATGAATATAATATCCAAGTTTCACTTTTTGAATGGAATTACTGAAATAAATCAACTTTTTGATGATATTCTAATTATATGACCAGCACCTGTATGTTCTCTTTTCTTTTTATAACGACGAGTAACATCTGCCTCAAGCTTTGTTGTCATACAGAACAAGTATAAAACATTTTTTTGTGTTGTTGACAACACTTAACGTGCGTGCCCTCGCTCCTAAGTACCGCTTTGGGAAAAACATACAGAATTTGAACAGCGGTGGTGGAAATCCTCTTAGCTTCTAACATCGATTGTTATTGGGGAAAACCGGGTACAGGTCTGTGTACTCACCTGTTGCTATGCCATCAAACAGGGACAGAACTCGAACTGGTCTGCGCAGGTTGGCTGGGATGGACGGGTAAACACGGTGCGGCTCCTACAAGGCAAAACAGTAAAAACAATGTGGTAACTAAGCCAGTGAGATTCTTTATTTATCAAATGAAACTTGTATTTTAGTTTAATATGTCTTTAGTCTGTGGTTAAATTCTTTGTTTAAAAGGTTTATATATATTTTTTGTACCTTTTACTTTGTTGTTTTAATGCTTATGTGTGTCCACAGCAGGGTTGGGTGATCATCTCTATTTTCAGATCATGGCTACTTGAGATCACCGATTGGTGACCTGATCGCCAGGGGGGCGGTGTTACGTTGCAGCAAGTCAGTGAAATGCCAGCATGGAAGAATCAGGCTTATTAGCTTTAAGGTAAACCACCAGAAACATCTGTTAATGCACAGTACAGTGTTTCCCACATAATTACCGTGTCAGGAAGTTGCCATCGAAAGCAGCTATGTACAGCATGTTAACCTCGACAATCTAGATGTATTCTAACATTAACATATCCATCTCAGACATTGACAGCATCGTGTTAAGAAAATAGATAGACTAATTTCTCAGAGTTAACTTCAATGCATAAGTTTCAATGTGTTTGTGAGAGAGAGCGAGAGAAGAGAGACAGACAGACACAAGCGGAGGAGCTGAGTGAATTATGATTTTATTCATTAAATAGTATGTGGCGGCCAGCGTTGCTATTGTGGCAGTGTGGAGCAGATTCTAGAGACTGTTTTTATATCATCTTAGTTCTGATAGTGAGTTAGTTAAAATCACCTTAATATCGGAGCATGAAAAACCAATCGCTGATCATCCCTTCAATTGTCGATAGGTGATCCAATCACCAATCGGAACAACCCTAGTCCACAGTAGATGCTCCTAATGCGTACATTATTCTATGAATGTGTTCTTGTACTTCCTTCTGCTGCTGCAACAATTCAATTTGCCTGCATGTCAATCAATCAATACAGTCTACCGTAACACGTTAATAATAATAATAATAATAATAATAATAATATAATAATAGTGTTTTTTTAATTCAGAAAATGTTTAAATATAATGAGTATTTATGGGTTGTATGCAAAGCTAAATTTAATTCATTTAGTAGTACATTTTTATTCCTATCTGAATCCCCATCACAAATGTACTTAATTTACCGCCTCATTTCAGGACACAAAAGATTAAGAAAGAAAATAAGAGTGCAGGTACCAAGAAGTGGAAAAAAAAAAGATGCAGATTGCAACTGAAACGATTAGCCACTAACTTAATTTGTCAATCGACAGACGATTTATCTACATCTATTCCCATTTGCAAGCAAATAAAAACCTGCAACTTTTCTCAGTTTAACATAATTTTCAATTGAATATATTTGTATAATATATAACTGGGCAAGCAGATTCATTGATAATGAAAATAAGTGCAAGTTGCACCCCTAAAGCAAATTAAAATTTTAAACAAAGCCTCCTAATACTGTTTTGATTACTAAGAATCTAAACCTTGCAAAACTATTCCTGTCATTGCAAAATGAAGAAGCAATATTTACACAGACATTTAATGTGAGTTATACCTGAAAAATTGGAATACATTGAAAATATTTGAAGGTATTCACAGAGCAGGTGAGTTTGCACGCTTATGAAAACGGTTAAGATCAGTTGAGCACTTACAAACTCCATGGCGCTGTTGTTGGCGAATAATTCCTGAACACGAATGCTCCAGTCCTTTCTGGGAATCAGAGCGCCGTGGGGTCGATGAGGCTGACACAAGCAGCAGATCCACGGGTCCAGCAGCTTTAAGGAATCAAACGTCCCCGGACTGACCAGGATGTTCATACAGTCTGCACAATAAGATCTGCAAATGTAGAAGATGAGAACAGACACTTATACGAAGGGGACAAAAAATATGCTCTACTTGTTACCTTTGTTTTAGAGAGCTAGACTGAAATGCAGAGGAGCAGACCACCTGCAGCAGCTATTTTGCCACACAGTATGAC